GACAGACAGAGGTCAAGAGAGAGGAGCTGTGTCGGCTAAATGGGGCTCATTGTGTGTGTGGTAATGGGACACCAAGAGAGGAAAACCTAAAAAATAGAGGGTATGGGCAAGTGGACAACTGAATATGTGTCATGAAAAGATGAAGGACAAGGAGGGAGTTAAGAGGAGGCTGAATAGTCAGGAGGGAGTGGCCATGGTTCTGCAATAATGGCCACTGGAAAATCAGCTGAACTGCCTGGAAAATCAGCCAAACTGCCTGCACTTTTTTCAAGTACCTCTTGAGTTAGTAAATTGTCATTTCTGATGAAGTCTTGTGCAGCTTGTGCATATTGTTGGACCAATGCCAGGTGTTTCCAGATGGTCATGATAACCAGGAGGTCCCTTGACAACTTACTCCAGAGTCTAAAACAAATGGAAAATGAAAGGTAATGGCTCCTTATTCAGATTGTGTATGCAAACACTGGCCTCTTTTACTGAGTGATTCACTGAGGATGGGTGAGGAAGCCTCATTAATAAATCATGTTGCCTGATATTCCTATAGTATTTAGGTGATATGCCAACACTTTGCAGGAAATGAAATAAAATAGACCCAGAGAAAAGTTTAGAGCAACTTCTCATTTTTATGTCTTTTGGAATCAACAATTTCTGAACAAGCTTGAGATTTAAGATATACATGTCAGTACACATATATACATGTATAAAATAAATCATAGAAGAATTTGCCTAGAAGGGTTTTAATAGTGAAAGGGCTTTTTCATGTATGTGAGCAAGGAGCAGAATCAGACACATTAAAGGTGGTTTTCCAGTTCTGTACTCAGACAAGAACAGAACTATAAGTGTGAATATGTCAGGAATCTCATCTTTGCTTTATGTTAAAGTTTTAAAATAAATGTAAATAAATACACACAGTTATTTTCTGAGATATATTAGTCTGTTGTGCAGAAAATCGGTAATAAAAATGGCAATTGATATATTACACAGACCTAGACATATTACACAATGATATATTACACCTAAAATTCCAGAAAATGTCTTATGTTAGAAAGGCAGAAATCAGTTGAAGACTAATAAATATTTAAAAGACAATAGGAATGTTTGATGAATAAAGGCCACTCAAAGAAATAACCAATCTGGCTTTCCTTTCATTTCATATCACACAGTAGTCATTATAAATTATTGCCTATCATGTACTAATTGCCTGCAATCAGCTATTATAATCTTTGGCAGCTTTCTTATTCTGAAACAATGATCTTTACCTATGAAAATAAATAATACTCTTATTTATGAAACAAATCTACTTTTTCTATTTTATTTTTGTGACTAAATTAAAGTGAAATATGATAGTATTGGCTTTATCCTTTAAATGAAGTTTAATCAATGTGAAAGGAAGTTTGGATAGCTGACTTTCATATTTTGGATTGAAATAAACTTTGAAATTAAAAAAACATCAGTTATTCATCCACTCAAAGCATGTAGTTGACCTGAATTTGTTGTCTTAAGAACTGGGGTGTGTGGTTTGTACTGTGTGTTGCAGGGGTTAGTCTTGGACAAAGGAACCCTACTTCTCAGAAAGATAGGATTAAATCTGTGTTTCAAAAATTATTATGGTTAAATTGTGGAGAATTGAATGAAAGGGGCATAACTGGATGAAGGAAGAACACTGGGTAGGTATTCCACTAATCCGAGTGAGAAACACAATATTATCCATTAATAAAGAGTGTGGACTCTGAATCCCAACTGTTTGGGTTTTAATGCAGCATCTCTCATTTGCTAGATGTCTGACTGGTTAAGTCACTTCGTCTTTCTACATTTCAATTTTCCTTTCAGCAATTTGGAAATAATAATAGTTTCTATTTTGAGGGTTAGAAAGAGAAATAGGTAAGTTAATGTACCATGCCAGGCCACAGGGCAAGCACCAGGTACATAAACATATGTTGTTAGTGAATTGGTTGGAGTAGAGAAAGACATAAGGGGACCACCTTTGAGTACATTTAGGTATTTGAATGACTATAACTTAGTGATGGTCTGACTGCGGGGGAGGGTTTGGGAGAAGGTCCTTCACTGAAATACAAGTAGGGGTAGAGAACAAGGGATTGTGGGAGCGATGGGGACTTCCCAATAAAATATTGTATTTTTTCTTCTAAGAATGATTCTAAGCCAAAGCATTTTGATAATATTTTGTCTCATGTGAAGTAGACACATGCATAAATTAAGTTCATGGGAAAGGTTAAAAAAGATTAGGAGTTCTGAGCTTCATTCAGCCACTACTTGACTCAGTCTTTGAAGGCGAAAGATGTCCTTTTTGGGTGACATGTGTCTATGCGTGATGGCAGGCCTGCTTCTATCTTCTCTCAAAGAGGTTTTGGTCAGCATTGGACTTTTCATAAGCACACCAATTGTGTAATATAAAAACATTATTAGCACAATAAAGCCTTTTAAAAGAATCAGCTAATATAAAGAATGAATTCTCATGAATATATATAAATCTCAGATAATGGCAGTTAGTTCTTACAATTAACGATTTTTACTTGTACTCTTTCTTTTTATAAAGTTATCCTAAAATATGTTTACATTTACATAGTCTGTTAAATAATAATGTGCATGTTTTCTTTTTTCTTCCAGTTCTGAAAGTGTTAGTCACTCAGTCATGTCCAACTCTTTGAAATCCCATGGACTGTAGGCCACCAGGCTTCTCTGTCCATGAAATTTTCCAAGCCAGAATACTGAAGTTTGTAGACATTCCCTTTTCCAGGGGATCTTCCTGACTCACAGGTCAGATCTGGGTCTCCTGCTTTGCAGGCAGATTCTTTACCATCTGAGCCCCCGGGAAAGCCCTGTTTTATTGAGATGTAGTTGACATACAGCACTGTATCACTTTAAGGCAGACAGCACAATGATTTGACTTACAGATATCATGAAATGATGACCACAATAAGTTTGGTGAGCATTCATCATATCACATAGATACAAAATAAATTTAAAAATTTTGAGATGAGAGCTAGTAGGGTTTACTCTCTTAACAACTTTCACATATGACATTCTGCAGTGTTAATTACATTTATTATGTTTTACATTACATCCTTGGGCTTTCCTCGTGGCTCAGATGGTAAAGAATGTACCTGCCAATGCACACGGCACAGGTTCGATCCCTAGTCAGAAATATTCCCTGGCGAAGGGAATGACTAACCATTTCAGTATTCTTGCCTGGAAAATACCATGGACAGAGAAGCCTGATGGGCTACAGTCCATGGGGTCACAAAGAGTCAGGCACGACTGAGTGACAAACACTTTCACTTCACTTCACTTCACATCACATCCCTAATACTTCTTTATCTTATATCGGGAATTTCATACATTTGACTCCTTTCATCCAATTCTCCATTTCCCCACTCCTCATCTCTGGTGACCACCAATACAATCTTTTTTTCTATGAGTTTGTTTGCTTGTTTGTTTTTGACGTATAATTGACCCACACCACTATGTTACTGCCTGGTGCACAACATAATTCCTTATTTCTGTATATTACAGAATAATCACCATGATAAATCTAGTTACCATCTGTCACCATACAAGGAACTAGTGCCTATATTCCTCACAATCTACATTTCATCCCTATGACTCATTTATCTTGCAACTGGAATTTGTACCTCTTGATTTCCTTCATATATTTCACTCATCCCCACCCCTTATCCCCACCCCACTGCTGATCATCTCTTTATTCTCTGTATCTGTGTTTCTTTTTTGCTATATTTGCATATTTGTTTTGTCTTTTAGATTCCACACATAAGTGAAATCATACAGTATTTGCTTATTTCACTTAGCACAATATCCTTTAGGTCTATCCAAGATTTTATTCTTTTTTTTAATAGCTGAGTAATATTTCCTTACTTTACCTACCATCTTCTTTACCTACTTATCTGTTGATGGTCACTTATGTTGCTTCCATGTCTTGGCTATTATGAATAACATAACTATGAACATTGAGGTGCATTATTTTAGAAAAGTACCCAAAAGTAGAATTGCTTGATTGTATGGTAGTTCTACTTTTAACTTTTTGAGGAACCACTATAATGTTTTCCATAGTTGCTGTACATTTCTACTGACACAGTGCAAGAGTTCACCTTTCTCCATATATTGCCAACACTTGTTATTTGTTGTATTTTGATGATGCCCATTTTAATGGGTGTGAGGTTATATCTCATTGTGGGGTTTGATTTACATTTCCCTAATATTAATGATGTTGAACATCTTTTCATGTGTCTATTGGCCATCTGTATGTCTTCTTGGGAAAAACATCTACTCAGGTCCTCTGCCCATTTTTTACTTGGGTTGTTTTCATTTTTTGTTGAGCTATATGAGTTATTGGAGAAGGCAATGGCAACCCACTCCAGTACTCTTGCCTGGAAAATCCCATGGATGGAGAAGCCTGATAGGCTGCAGTTCATGGGGTTGTGAAGAGTCAGACACAACTGAGCGACTTCATTTTCACTTTTCGCTTTCATTCCTTGGAGAAGGAAATGGCAATCCACTCCAGTGTTCCTGCCTGGAGAATCCCAGGGACCGCAGAGCCTTGTGGGCTGCCATCAATGGGGTCGCACAAGTCGGACAAGACTGAAGCAACTTAGCAGCAGCAGCAGCATATGAGTTATTTGTATATGCTGGATACTAACCCCCAGTCAGATATATGATTTGCAAATATCCTCTCCCATTCAGGAGGCTGCCTTTTTAGATTTGTTAATAGTTTCTTTCACTGTGCAAAAACCTTTAAGTTCGATATAGTCCCATAACCAGAATTATTTTCTAATGCTTTATAATTTTTTGTGTTTCTCAAATAGAGTGTTAAATAAATCTTCATAAACTTGATGAATTATCAGCTCTCTATATGTTTTAATTTGTTGATTCTTTTGTATAGTATATAAACTGACATTAGCTTCAAGCAAATGCATGTGATTATATGCCAGTTTCAATGATTGATCTTTCTATTTCCCCTGTTCTTCTAGTCTGCTCCCAGTTTTCAAGAGGAGTCTATGCTATTTTTGGATTTTATGACAAGAAGTCAGTAAACACCATCACATCATTTTGTGGCACGCTCCATGTGTCCTTCATCACTCCCAGCTTCCCAACAGATGGCACCCACCCATTTGTCATTCAGATGCGACCGGACCTCAAAGGAGCTCTCCTCAGCTTGATTGAGTACTACCAGTGGGACAAGTTTGCCTACCTCTATGACAGTGACAGAGGTAAGTGACAATGCCTCTCTCTCTTTGTAATGGGTCAAGTTCAAAGCTGACACATTATATTCATACTTACACATAATGTTATAGAGCTGTGTGAGTATATTCCAAGGGTGCATGCATGCTTAGTCGCTTCAGTAGTGTCTGACTCTTTGTTACCCTATGGGCTATAGCCCGCAAGTTTCCTCTGTCCATGGGATTCTACAGGCAAGAATACTGGAGTGGGTCGCCACGCCCTCCTCCAAGGGCTCTTCCTGACCCAGGGATCGAACCTGTGTCTTCTGCATTGCAGGCAAATTGTTTACTGCTGAGCCAGCGGGGAAACCATAGTCCAAGGGTAACTTTGCTTAACTGTGCTCTGAAAATGAAATGTAATTTGAACTAGGAAGCATATTTAAAATGAAACAAACAAAAACGTTGTGGATGTACAATTTATAGAGATAGACTATGTTCACACAATGCCTGTGTGTTCTGTTGTAATGTGAAAAGCCCTTTATGATATCAGCAGCTCAGACCCTAGGAAGACTATATTTCCAGCTCAAGATGAGTGAAGTGACTCCTTGCAAACTAGTTTAGGTAAGACTTGAGTAAATATGCAAATAAGAACATCTAAAAAATGTATAAGTATTAAATATTTCCCCATGCAAAAGTTTTATCAGGCTAGGATGGTTGTTATTAACCTTGCTTTGTTATGAGATTCCTGAATCTTAGACATATTACAAGACTTTTTCGTGATCCATTCATGTGTGGTTTAGCTGATCTCAAGTCTTTTGACACCAAAGCTTTGTCACAAGTCCCTGTCGTTACTTATAAGGAGATGGTTTGGATTAGCATGCCAATTAGAGTCTAGGCTCATTATGCTAGTTTTTATTTCGGAAGTGAGAGCACTTGCTTTGTGTTTCCCACACATTTGTCCTGAAGTTTGGTTATTAGAAGGCCTGATTAACCTTACATGTCATAAAATTCTAGGTATTGCTAACCATTCCTGGGTCTGTGATTCAGCTTCAGTGGTCTGTGTACTTCCTAAAATAGTATGAATGCTTTGTGCACGTGGACATAGGTGATTTTTCTCAAAAGAGTATCCACCACCAAACTCAGAATTATTGAGGACCACCTTTGCCAAAATACCAGCCTGTTCAGGGAGCAGCGTGCTTTAAAGGCTCAAGGGAAAACCAGAAGCTTATTTCCTACCAGGAGAAGGCACCTTGCTTTCCTGCAAAGATAGTTGAGCCGGGAGCCAGCCACCAGCCCTTCTCCAGGATCAGTTTGCAGATACTGACTACAGCAATCAGAGCCTGGTGTCAGGTTCTCTGTCTTGGTCTCCAGTCCTGAGAATAACACTCTATGGGAAAGTCAGTCATCACTATACAAACTGAGCAAGTTTCTTCCTGCTTTGAGAAGGGAGAACTCTGCTCTACCCATGGGGAGTGAAAAACTGAAACACAGAACTGTTTAGAGTAAATACAGATTCCAGGGTGCTGGATTGCTCTGAAGTAGCATTCTTTTTCATGTGATAAAGGGCTTAGCATCTTGCCCTCTGCTGACTCTTTCACTCTTGACCCCTCTTCTAGGATTTCTAACATCTAAATGACTTTTACTTCTAGCCTCTCTTCTGTGTCCTTATCAAGTCTCCAGGCCCATGTGCTCATCCTTCATCCTTCCATTTCTGTACTTGTTTCTCTTCAATCCATTTTCCATAAGGGAGCCAGAAACTTTGAATGCTTTTATTAATTTCTTTAAATTTAGTCATTGCTTTCTAGGGGGGTATAGTTGATTTACAATATTGTGTTAGTTTCAGGTGTATAGCAAAGTTCAGCTATACATATACGTATATCCACTCTTTCAGATTTTTTTTCCCATATAGAATGTTATAGGATATTGAATCGAATTCCCTGTGCTACACAGTAGGTCCTTGTTATTTATCTATTCTATATGTACTATTGTGTGCATATTAATCCCAAGCTTCTAATTTATCTCTTACTCTGTTTACCCTTTGGTAATCATGTTTGTTTCCTATGTCTGTGAGTCTGGTTCTGCTTTGTAAATAAGTTCATTTGTGTCATTTTTTTTTAGATTCCACATATAAGTGATATCATAAGATATTTGTCTTTGATTTATTTCACTTAATATAATAATCTTTACATCCATCCATGTTGCTGCAAATGACATTATTTAATTTTTTGATGACTGAATATATTTCATTGTATATATATATATATATACACCACATCTTTATCCATTTTTCTGTAGATGGACATTTAGGTAGTTTTCATATCATGGCTATCATAAATAGTGCTGCAATGAACATCAGGGTCCATCGCTTTGAACTATGGTTTTCCCTGGATATATGCCCATGAGTGGCTTCTCAGCTGTCTCAGTGGTAAAGAACCCACCTGCAAATGCAGGAGACAGAAGAGATGTGGGTTCAATCCCTGGGGTTTGGGAAGATCCCCTGGAGTAGGAAATGGCAACCCACTTCAGTATTGTTGCCTGGAAATTCCACAAGGATCCTGCAGGGTGACTGTCCGTGGGGTTGCAAATAGTCTGACATGACTAAATGACTGAACACAGCCATGCCCAGGAGTGGGATTGCTGGATCATGTGGTAGCTCTATTTTTTGACTGTTTTAAATGCTTTTCTGGCCACATTGATCCCTTGCTTAATATACTCCAATGACTCTTCATTATAATGAAGATAAAGTTGAAAATTACTAATATGACTTTAGGGTCTTATTAGTATCTGGTTCCTGCCCATTTATGCTATGGTCTTGCTCATCTACCAAGCTAAACCCATTTCACTAACATTATTTCACTTTCTCAGATGTACCATACTCTTTCACCTCAAATCTCTGCACATTCTTCTAAATCTTTCTCCTTAGGTCTCAGGTTATATAACATTCCCACAGAGATGCATTTACTATTGTTATCTTCTCTCAAAGTAATCTCTTTTTTTCCTATAATACTTATCACTATATATAATTAATATTGATGTTCATTCTTTCACCCAAGAATTAAGATTCTAGTCTGTTCTAGGAATTGTTTAATCACACAGGTTTTAATATTTTTATTTAAAATCTGGCTATACGCCCAGGAAGCCAATGCCCTGGCAATAACCACTACACTTAACTGTACGTACAGTGCTTAAGATAATGCTGGAACAGAGCTGATAGCCAATAAATGGGGTCAATAAATGAATGAGTTGAACATCTGTGTGTTTTGAGATGATCTTAGAACCTGAATCCTGCTTCCTAAATCAAAGGATCAGAGATGAATTCTCCTTACTTTTTGATGAGGTGGAAGGTGACATTTTATCTTTAGGGACACACTTCACCTTCTCTATGGCGCCCTCTAGTTGACACTGAACTTTTGAGATAATTCAAGGAGACAACAGCTGATATAAATAGAAAAAGAGAAACTCTAGTATTTGAAGAGAGAAGAAAGACAAGCTCTGGGAAATAAAGGATCAGATGATGAGGACAGACTTATGTACTTGTGAAAAGAACCTGAGACATTTTAATGATTTTATTAACACTTTAGAAATAGTAAATGAAATTGAAGCGATGAGATAATCTCCAATCATTAAATTATACAAATTGATTTGAGTTCAAGTGCAGCCATGGAGAGGTCACTGCTAGAGTGATATTATTAAGTAGTTGTATATTAAAGCCAAAATTGACTTTGTGGATACATTTTCAAGTTATTTTCAAATGGATACTTATGTTTTAATATGAAGAGTATTACACTGGCCTTTTAGCTGAATCTGTTTTCAGAGATAAATGTGTAAGACTCAAAGTACTGGCAAAAGACTTGACCTTCATGTAATGTTTTACTTGTCTTATAGAAATGGGATGCTTGCTCTCTGATTTTTCCTTATTAATCAATTGTTATAGCTTTGCTGTTGCATCACATTTTAAAATGTTTATTCATTCGTCAAGTTATGTTTTCCCGCCCCACCAATTGTAGACAAAGGAGGACAAAGATGCATCCTGATCTTTGTGTAGATCTTTGACTAGTTCAGGTTTACTTGGGATTGGGGTGCCATGTGACCCCTTAGAACTGCTGGAGTCTTCTCTTTATCCAAGCTATGTGACAGCAGCCTGGAACTCCTTGTTACCCCAGCATCCTTCCTAAAGCTCCAGAAAGAGTAGCTAGGTGGATCTTCAACATATTTGAGCTATAGAGTAATGGTGCTTCCTATATTAATGTATTCAAAATAGGTTTTTTTTTTTGGATACATATGTACAAAATTTGAACCAGAACTTGCTCAAAATGTGGTTTTTATTTATTGGGTTAGTGTTGATAAAGTAAGGTAATACATTTCTGTAGACAGTAGGTAAAACCAGAACTAATGATTTATAACTTGGTTTTAATTTTGAACCATACTGTTTTTCCCTGAAGGAAAGGCACATTGATTCCAGTTCTAAAAATGCACCATGAATGGAATAAAAATGCTTCCAAATTATAAATTTCTTTTACCATGTCCCTGAGAAAGTCAGAGAGGGAAATATATGTTAATCTAATCTGGTCTAGGCATGCTGCTTTGATTTAGTGATCATAAATATTAATTTCTGTGCCTGAAAGATGAATAAGGGCAGTGAATTTTAAACAGAACAAAGAAAATATTTTTAAGAACAAAGACATGGTCTGAATGAACTAGAACTATTTGCAGTAGTCATTTTTAATCCCACCCATTAATGTGAAAACTCAGATATTTAAGGGGCTCCCTAGGTGTCACTACTGGTAAAGAACCCGCTTGCCAATGCAGGAGACAAGAGACACAGGTTCGATCCCTGGGTTGGGAAGATCCCCTGGAGAAGGAAATGGCAACCCACTTCAGTCTTCTTTCCTGGAGAATCCCGTGGACACAGGAACCTGGCAGGCTACAATCCATAGGGTCTCACAAAGTCGGACACAACTGAAGCGACTCCTCAAGCATGCAAGACATTTAGACTTGATTTGTTCAGGGGCTGTAGGTTTTTCTGTAACTTTGTCACAGTATTGTGAACA